GAACCTTTAAAGGGTCGGTAACTTGCGCAGCTTCGCGTTTTGGTTCCGTCTGGATTCATCCGAACTTGAAATCAAACTCCGTTTTTTCTTATGTGTAGCCAATGAGTCCATCTACATAACCATGATTGCCCGATCCATGTCATTCCCTCATAATACCTCCGACCTGCACACGAAAAACAAGAAGAAAAACGGGAAAAACACACGAAAAACACAAAGGAAACCATAATAAAGGAAATAACAGAATAAACTATAAAACGAAATAAAAACCAACTAAAAGACATAAAACGGGGAAAAAGAATGATAAAACAATAACGAAAATTGTAACAAAAATGGTCACAACAACTCCCCCACACTTAAACATTTGTTCGTCCCGAACAAAGAGAAAAGAAAACAAAATACGAACATGGGTATCATTTCAAATAAGTCATGCTTCAAAATGTTTAACTCTATCAAGTCGAATTCCAACGACCATACGGCCATATGCCTCAAATATAATCTCGGCCTTAAAATGACAACTCTCAAAGATAATCATATATATGCCTCACTCATTTTCTTGTTTGAATATGTGATAGGTTCTCTCAAAATTGGTCGATATTCACTTTTCAACATATGCTTGCCAATCGTCTAGATTACTCGGAATCAACTGAAGCTTAAAATTTTTGAATCAAGATGACTTCTCGGGTTGTAATGTGGGATATATTCAAACAAAAAGGTAATGATAAATATATGGACAAGAAAACTCAAATAAACAATCAAAGTTTTCGAGTTATAGAATATTCGAATGTCTGCCACTCGACCTAATCAACGAGATGCACGCATACCATCCACCAATGTCTCCGCAAACAACACCTATATGCTCCAATTGAATTGCAATATTGCTTGACTTATTACACAATTTTTTTTTTTTAAGAGTTACTATTTCCGAACAAGCTCGAATCGCAAGGACAATATTCCTTAGGTTTAAACATTGGAGGTCATCCAAGTGTCCTAAGGTGGTTTCCCAATACTCATTACTCGTTAAAATGAATAACATGTAAGCGGAGTAGAATCCAATTGATTCGTCTTGCGAGCTCTCATGTATTTTATATATATATATATATATATATATATATATATGGTCAAGCATAAAATGCAACTCGACTTTCACCTCTTTCAAAAATATCGCCAATTCACCAATCGTCACTCAAAACCTGTCAACAATCATATATATATGTGGTTTACAAGAAAAGGCTTCAAGTTCAAACGAGCTACTAGCGAAAAATGTATTTCTAGGGTCAAGAACAAGGCAAAACGAGCTAACAATCAAAACGCCTAAATCATTTTCACAATTTCAAACTTAAACCGATTCTTTTCAAATAGACTCACGGCAAGTTCTAATCATTCGAGAATACGACCAATATCTCTCAAGAAAGAAGAATAAGGATCGAAACCTCACAAGGTAAATAAATGTCAATTAAAGCAATCAAGTAAATATCGAGACAATGATCAATACGTTCGTCATCACATCTTCCCAATTTCATCAAACATTTATCAACAAATCATATAATTCACCGATACCACATGTTCGACAACAACCTACCACAAAAACACGCAAAATTCAAGACGGAGTCGCCAACTCCCCCACACTTAAAATAATGCAAAGTCCCCATTGCATCGACACATAAATGGAAATAAAAACAAAAAAAAAACTGGGAATTCAAACAAGAAAAAGAAAAGAGTGTGCAAACCAAAGTAGCCTCAATGGAAATAATCATTCGCGTTCAAACCTTCCGCCCCTTTATCAACCGGTCCTCGATACGACCTGTCAGGAAAACAAACTCCACAAACTCTCATCATTCAAAGAAAATAAAAAATAAAATGAAAAGCATAAACAAAACACACAAGAAAGCAGTAAATTACTTGGGTTGCCTCCCAAGAAGCGCTTGTTTAACGTCATTAGCTTGACGAAACCTGAATTTTTTTTTTTAAATGAAAATGTATATATAGATATAATAATATATACAAAGGTACTCGGTTTATTGCCGCGAGCTCGGCATTATCACGATCAAATGTACTGTGGTTCGCCGAGATCGATGGTCTCGACGTGCTTCTTCCCGACTTCACCTTCGATGTATGGCTTGATCCTTTGGCCGTTAACAACAAATAACTCACCGGTAGACGGGTTCCAAAGTCGAAATGCCCCGAAAGATAGAACCTTGTCCACAATGAACGGCCCACTCCACCGGGACTTAAATTTTCCCGGGAAAAACCAAAGTCGGGAATTAAAAAGGAGAACTTGCATACCCGGCACCAACTCCTTCCGGACAATACGAGCGTCGTGGAGTCGTTTGACCTTGTCCTTATAAATCATCGAATTCTCGTACGCCTCGTTTCGCAATTCCTCGAGTTCTTATAGTTGCAACAATCTCTCCTTTCCGGCAGAATCAAGGTCAAAGTCCATCTTCTTAATCGCCCAAAACGCTTTGTGTTCGATCTCGACCGAGAGATGGCAAGCCTTCCCGTAGACAAGCCGAAAAGGGCTCATCCCCAACACTCCTTTGTATGCGGTCCGTTGTGCCCATAATGCGTCGTCGAGTCGTCGGGACCAATCGTTTCGGGATGAATTTACCGTCTTCTCTAAGATAATCTTAATTTGCTTATTGCTCGTCTCCGCTTGCCCCGACGTTTGTGGATGGTAGGGTGTCGCCACCTTGTGCGATATGGCGTATTTTATCATCAACTTCTCGAATAGGCGGTTGCAAAAGTGTTTGCCTCCGTCACTCACAATGGCCCGAGGGAATCCGAACCTGCTCAAAATATTACCTTGCAAAAACTTGATAACTACGTTAGCGTCGCATGTCCTTGTGGGGATGGCCTCGACCCACTTGGACACATAATCAACCGCAAGCAAAATATACTCGAAACCAAAGGACTTATGAAACGGTCCCATAAAATCGATGCCCCAAACATCAAAAATTTCAACTTGTAGATTGTTAACAAGAGCCATTTCATTTCGGGAACCGATATTCCCAATCCTTTGACAACGGTCGCAAGCCTTACAGAAATTATGAGCATCTCGGAAAATAGTAGGCCAAAACAAACCTGATTGGAGGACGTTAAAGGCGGTCTTTCGACCCCCAAAGTGACCTCCGCAATGAAACTCGTGGCAAAAGGCAAGAACGTCCGATTGCTCTTCTTCAGGCACACACCTCCGTAGCACCTCGTGTTTCCCCATCTTATAGAGAAACGGATCGTCCCAATAGTAATTCATGCACAATGCAACAAATCTTTTCCTCTCTTGAAAAGAGAGGTTAGCCAACAAAACACCATCGGATAAATAATTTACTATATCCGCGTATCACGGATGACTCGACACTTCACTCAATTGCTCATATGGAAAATCGTCAGTAATGGTAACATGCTCGTGCAATGTGAGTGATGAATCGGAAGGAACAATACGAGACAAATGATCAGCTACAACATTTTCACACCCTTTTCTATCACGAATTTCAACGTCAAATTCCTATAAAAGTAAAATCCTCCGAATAAGTCTCGGTTTCGATTGAGTTTTTCTCAAAAGATACCTTAATGCCGCATGATCGGAATGCACAATTACTTTAGATCCCAAAATATAAGATCTAAATTTATTGAGAGAAAAAACTACGGCAAGGAGCTCTTTTTCGGTCGTCGTGTAATATAATTGAGCGTCGTTTAAAGTCAAACTAGCATAATAAATCACGCGAAGTAGTTTATCAACTCGTTGACCTAAAACGGCTCCAATAGCAAGATTTGACGCATCACACATTATTTCAAAGGGTAACGACTAATCCGGCGCAATCACAATAGGTGCTGTTACGAGCTTATTTTTCAACTTTTCGAAAGCATCTAAACATGCATTTTCAAAAACAAACGGCACATCGTTAGCAAGCAAACGACATAATGGTTGGCTTATTTTTGAAAAATCTTTGATAAAACGCCTATAGAAACCGGCATGACCCAAAAAACTTCTAACACCTTTAACATTTATGGGAGGGGGAAGTTTTTCAATCACATCGACCTTAGCTTTGTCGACTTCAATTCCTTTACTAGAAATAACGTGTCCCAAAACAACTCCATTTTTAACCATAAAATGACTCTTTTCCCAACTTAAGGTCAAGTTAGACTCAATGCAACGCTTGAGAACTTGAGATAAATTATGGAGACAATGAGAAAAAGAATCACCGAAGATAGAAAAATCATCCATAAATACCTGAAGGAAGTCCTCGAGCATATCGGAAAAGATAGAGAACATGCACCTTTGGAAAGTCCCAAGTGCATTGCAAAGTCCGAAAGGCATACGTCCAAATGCAAAGGTGCCGAATGGACATGTGAATGTGGTCTTTGGCTGATCCTCGGGAGCAATTGCTACTTGGTAGTAGCCGGAAAGGCCATCTAGAAAGCAATAGTATTGGTGACCGGAAAGGCGATCAAGGATTTGATCAATGAATGGCAATCGAAAGTGGTCTTTCTTGGTCACGACGTTGAGTCGCCGGTAGTCAATGCACATTCTCCACCCGGTAGTAATACGGGTGGGAATCATCTCCTTCTTTTCATTCTCGATAACAGTGATACCGCCTTTCTTTGGCACCACGTGGATAGGGCTCACCCATTCGCTATCGGCTACCGGAAAAATAAGCCCTTCGGAGTAGAGCTTAAGTACCTCCTTCTTAACAACTTCCATTATATTCGGATTAAGTCGTCTTTGGCTATCCCGAAATGGCTTGCCACCTTCCTCCAAAATGATCCGATGCATTCATGTGGAATGGGCTAATACCTTTAAGATCTGAGACCCCATCCGATGGCTTGTTTATTCGTTCGGAGTACCTCAAGTAGCTTTCTTTCTTCATCCTTTGCAAGTTCGACGAAATAATTACTGGCTTTTGCATTTCTTCATCTAGAAATACGTACTTGAGATGTCGAGGTAGTTCTTTCAGCTCTAGGGTTGGTTTTGCATCGGGCTGGTCAGTTGTGCAAAGGTCGACGGTTGGTTCTTTGTTATCTTCAAAATCGGGTATGTACCTTGCTTTCCATTCTTGTTGGGCTATCTCTTCGACGAACGGGTCAGTTATATCAACAAATGCGCATTCCTCCACAAAATTCACCGAGGATGCAGATGTGGCCTCTCGGACTGAAATAGATACGGACTCGCCCAACACCGTCATATTTAGCATCCCGTTCTTTACGTCAATAAGCGTGTTAGTGGTGGCCATGAATGGTATCCCGAGAAGGATGGTGTGATCCTTCCCATTCTCATGCACTTCGCCCACGTCAAGAATAACGAAATCCACGGGGACAATAAGCTTACCCACATGAACTAGCACGTCTTCCACCACTCCTTTTGGATATCGTATTGAACGGTCGGCGAGTTGGAGGCACATACGGGTTGGTCTTAAGTCTCCGAGACCGAGCCGTTGGAATATTGAGAACGGCATAAGGTTGATTTCGGCTCCTAGGTCGAGCATTCCCGAAGCTTCTTTTTCATTCCCGAGGGCTATTTTAATCACGAAACCCCCGGGATCACGTTCCTTTTTGGGTAAGTCATGGTGCATGGTGCTCGTTGCCTCGTACACCACAACTTTCTCACTGTCTTCAAATCTTCTTTTCTTTGTCACCAAATCCTTGAAAAATTTCACATAGGACGGCATGTTTTTAATTACGTCGAGAAGCGGTAAGTTGACATTGACTTTGGACAGCATGTTGTATAAATTCCGGAATTGCTTTTCTTGTATTTTGTCCCGAAGTCGTCCCAGAAAAGGGATACGTGGTTTGAATGGATTTGTGGACTTATGTAAAAATGGACCTCCCACCGGCTTTTCTGAATTTGTCCGTGTGCTATCCTCAACATCATCGTCTTTGGGCTTATCTGTTGGCTTTGGATCCTCCGTTTCAGGCATTTCGACTTGGTTGTTGACAACTTTGCCGCTCCGTAAAATGGTAATTGCCTTTGCTTGCTCGGGTTGGCTCGGAAGCTTTCCTTTGTCGGATCCGGCCGCCAAATTGCCAACTCTTGAAGCGAGTTGGCCAATTTGAGTCTCCATGCGCTTGATAGTGGATTCTTGGTTTGTCATAAATTGGAGGATTTTATCTATTTTCCATCTTGAGTGGCCGAACTAGGACCAGCCCCTTGGTTTTGCATCCCTCCCATAGGACCACTTTGCGGTTGTTGTTGTTGAGGGAAGTTTGGTCTCATGTGTTGTTGAGGAGCGAAGTTTGGCCGGTTCGGTTGTTGCATGAAACTTTTTCGGGGTTGTTGGGTGTTGTTGTTGTTTGACCACGAGAAGTTGAGTTGATTTCACCATCCAGGATTGTATGTGTTGGAGTACGGATCATTGACAGGTTGGTTTTGGTAGCCTTGGAGAGCATTGGCATCAATATGTGGCTCTCCGAAGTCTTGGTCGAAAGCGGATGGGCACACTTCTGAACGGTGCCCATGTACTCCACATGTTCCGCATGATTCGATCGTCATGGCTTGTACCGATTGGAAACTTCTTGCATTAAGTAGCCTCATTTGTTCCGTAAGCTCGGCGATTTGATGAGCTATCATATCTTGCCCGGGTGCTATCTCGTGAACCATTGCCTTCTTTCCTCGGCTACTCTTTTGAGACGAGTTTGTACTCATCGTCTCAAAAATCTCCATCATTTCTTCAGCCGTTTTTGCTCCTATGTCGCCACCGGCCGCATTATCCACCATGTATTGAAAGTTTTGATGGAGAGAGTCATAGAAGCTATTCATCAACAAAGCGGGTGGAAAATTGTGGTGTGGGCATTGCCGTTGAAGATCTTTGAAGCGTTCCCACGCCTCATGTAGTGGCTCGTTTGGTTGTTGGGCGAAAGAGACAATTTGAGATCGGAGCTCTTGTGTCTTTTGATGAGAATAGTATCTCCCGATGAATTTCGAATACACTTTCTCCCAAGTAGTGAGGGAGTCGGGAGCAAGCGTCATAAACCAAGCCTTAGCCCGGTCTTTAAGTGTTTCGGGAAAACACCTCATCTTCAATTGGTCTTCGTTGAGCCCATGGGGTGGGAAAGTTTGTAAAACATTATAGAACTCACGGATAAAATAGAGTGGATCTTCGTTTGGAAGCCCGTGGAATGATGGAAGTTGATTGTAGTGAATGGTTTTGAGCTCGTAGTTCCGAGCCGCTGGTCCCAATCGGATGCATGAAGTCACCGGCCCAATCATTGGTTGGGCTAGGTCACAGAGAAGGTATCGCGGAGGGTTGTTCACTTCCTTTTCATCGTTACGTGCCATCTTGCCTTGGTCGTTGGAATTTGAGGGTTCGAGAGAGAGATTGGCGAACAAGTCTCGTAAAGCCTCGTCAATGGATCTGTCCTTCGGAATGAGCACACGACCACTCCTAGTACACATACAAAAACAAAATTTTGTTACGAGCACCTGCTAACGAAGAAGAGTGAACTACAAATACTTCAAAAATACTAAAAATAAAACAAAAAAAAAGGAGAAACACAAAAAACAATAAATCACAAGAACAAAGAGAAATACGAAAAATGAGTGAATAAACGCACGAAATAATTCCTAAACCTTCCCCGGAAATGGCGCCATTTTGTTTGTAATATTTTTGGGCAAGAAGTAACCGAGTTACCCGACTCGGGTCGTTCTCAAAGGAAGATTAGCTGGACTAAATCGAACGTTTATTTAATTTACAAAAGAGAAAATAATCCTAAACATTCTAATTCAATTTGATGATTGGATTTTTAAACTAAATTTTACAACTTTTTAACAATAATAAAATAACTAAAATGACAATAATATTCCAAGCTATTATTAATACTATCGTTTTACTCGTAAACTTTCAAACGAAAAATTCGTTTTACTAGTAAAAACTTTCGAACGATAAAGTTGTTTTACTTGTAAGAACTTTCAAACAAAAAGGTCGTTTTACTCGTAAAACTTTCAAACGAAAAATTCGTTTTACTAGTAAAAACTTTCTAACGATAAAGTTGTTTTACTCGTAAAAACTTTCAAACGAATAAAATGAAAAATATAATTTATAATGAATTTAAAAGTTTAGGGTATTGGGGATAATCAATTCTGGTTTTATTAACATTTATTAATAATTAAATTACTCGGTTAACCGGTTCACTTAATTAACTCATCTAGTAGTTTATCCGTACTAACTCTCGTAATATACGGATGAATTTTAAACAAGTGAATTAGTAAAACGGTTAACACATAAACAATACGTTTCCGAACATGTCTATTCCAAACAAATCAAGTTCTATCAATTTCGCCTCTATCGATTTTGAAATTGATTATGTAGATTAAAATGGTGATCAATCATTTAACCATAAGATTAATAAAATTTGTAAAGATTGAGTAATAAAAATACTTATAAATGTTAATAAACCAAAATAATTATCCCTTAACCCTAATTAGGAAATTAGTTGATCATAGTAATTTTAACATAAAAATTCTTATGGAAACAAACCATTGATAACATAAAATGAAAAGAAAACTTACTATTGATTCACAAGCAAGAGGAATTGCAAACGTAATGTCTCAACACATCAACAATCTTCAAACTTATAAACTTCAAAATACAAAAAGATTAAAATCGAGCTTGCATGCAAAGATCAAACTTGAAAAATATCAAGAACACTAAGAACACTCTTGGAAATATTACAAAGAAAGAGAAGTTGTACATAACATGGTGAAGAAGTGAATGAATTAAGATGGTAATGAAGGTGGTTTATATAGGGTGAAAAAAATCCTTAATTTCCTAACTTATGCATAATTTTTCTTCACCCATTCATCAACCATGCATAATTTCTTCACCCATCCATCAAACATACCTAAAAGACCCAATTTTCTCATCCATAAATGGTTGTTAACTCAAAATATTGATATAGACTCAGAAAAATCTGAAAAAAAGGGTGCAAGGGCCGCTGGGCGCGGCATGGCGCGCGCAGGGGCGCGCAGCACGCGGGCGCGCGCGCGCGCGGGCAGCAGTGCACGCGTATACGTTTTTGGCTCGTTTGAGCTCATCCGAACTCGGAATTTAGTTCCGTTTTTTCCTACACGTCGCTAACGAACCCGTCTAACCAATGATGCTTGCAAACTACACTATTGCTCAGAGTACAAATTATGTGGAATTTCTAACCTTTAAAGGGTCGGTAACTTGCGCAGCTTCGCGTTTTGGTTCCGTCCGGATTCATCCGAACTTGAAATCAAACTCCATTTTTTCCTATGTGTAGCCAATGAGTCCATCTACATATCTATAATTGCCCGATCCATGTCATTCCCTCACAATGCCTCCGACCTGCACACGAAAAACAAGAAGAAAAACGGGAAAAACACACGAAAAACACAAAGGAAACCAAAATAAAGGATAACACAGAATAAACTATAAAACGAAATAAAAACCAACTAAAAGACATAAAACGGGGGAAAAAGAATGATAAAACAATAACGAAAATCAAAATGGTCACAACAGTAACACAACCACGCTCCCACTGATCTTCTTGTAAAAACATTGCTCATCTGGACATTGAGTGACCTCCGTACAACTGGATCACCTCATCGAATCGGATGTTCCAAGAACTCGAAGCTTGCTTCTGTGCATAAATAGACAGATTAAGCTGACACACTAGACGCTCATGTCCCTTATCAATGAAGCCCTCTGGTTGTTGCATATATATATATATCCTCCAGAAGGTTTCCATTAAAGCAAGTTGCCTTGACATCCATCTGCCAGACCTCATAATCCATATGAGTGGCTTCCAAAATTATCCGAATGGACATAAGCATAGCTACTGGCAAAAAATTCTCATCATAATCAATACCCTCTTTTTGGGAATAACCTTCGACAACAAGCCTAGTCTTAAAGGTTTCCACCTTTCCATATGATCCTCTTTTTCTCTTAAAGTCCATTGACCCCATCTCAGCTTTCATTATAACATTCCATGAATCTGCATCATTATCTTGGAGTACCTCATCATAAGTCTTTGGGTCTTATTAGAGATCTCCTGGGACTGAGTTCGATGACTCTCCAAGACCTATCCATTGGTCGAGTTGCATAGAAATCCTCCTACTACGACAAGGTACTGTCTGCACTGGTACACTCACAGTGTGTCGTGTTGTAGTAATATGTGATGTATCTACTTGCATTTGGTGGGGAAACTATCGACCTCACTCCATAACTCCTCTAAGACAAGTTTACTCGCAGCTTGTGATTCATAGTTTTCTTCCAAGAATCTAGTGTCCGTACTAACGATTACTTTCTGATCCTCGGGACTATAAAATAATCCACCTTTAGTTTCCTTGGGATAGCCAAAAAACACTTGTGCTTCTGAATGCTTCTCCAACTTGCTAGCTTCTTACACTAAAACGTGTGCAGGGCTACCTCACACTCGAATATATGAAAACTCGGGCTTACGCACTTTCCACAATTCGTAAAAAGTAGTCTCTACTGACTTCGATGGAACTATGTTCAGAATGTACGATGTTGTTTCCAATGCCATACCCCAAAACGAATTTGGTAACTTTGAATAACTCATCATTGACCTAACCATTTCTATAAGAGTCCTATTTCTTTTCTCTGCAACCCCGTTCTGCTGGGTGTGCAGGGTGCAGTTAGTTGGTATCCAATCCCAACTTGTGATAAATATGTCCTTAACTCTCCAAAGAAGTATTTGCCACCTCGATCAGATCGAAGCGACTTGATACTCTTGCCATGATACTACTCCACGATGGCTCGATACTTCTTGAATTTCTCAAAGCATTCAGACATGCGGTGCATCAAGAAGACGTACCCATATCTCGAGTAATCATCAATGGATGTGACGAAATACATGTAACCACCTCTAGCTTGGATCGACATAGGACACACAAATCAGAATGAATCAATCATAGCACTTATTGGCTCTTATACCCCTTTGTCGAAAATGGCCACTTACTCATCTTACCTTCTAGGCACGATTCGTAAGTTGAATAATTATCTTCTAAGGGACCGAGATGTCCGCTAGACACTAACTTTCGAATCCTCCTAAGGCTGATGTTCCCATGTCTAAGGTGTCAAAAAAAAGCTTGATTCATCTGCGAAGTCTCCTTCCTCTTACTAGATTTAGCCAAGACGTAATTCAATTCATTTTGTGGCACTATGGGATAGTTTGGTTTAAGAATATATAAACTGCCAACTAATGAACTAGAACAAATGAAACGATTTCCATAACGATTTCCAAGCCATCAAACGTAGCAGAAAAACAATCCACAACAGGCTTAGAAATCAAAACAAGGTTTTTCTAAAATTCAGAACAAAATGCCAATGTCTCAAAACCAAACTAGTACTATCAAAAGAGAAAATAATGTCTCCTACTGCAACGGCTGCCACTTTCGTGGCATTGACCATGTAGACGGTGATCTCTCCCTCCTTAAGTCGTCTGGTTTCCTAGAATCCCTGCAAAAATTTGCAGACATGATCAGTGGCTCAAGTTTCAACACACCAGGTACTGGTAGATACGACTGCTAAACATGTTTCTACCGAGAGTAACCATATTTTCCCTTCTTAAGAAGAGGGCAGTCGACCTTCTGTTTTGGTCTCGCAACTCTAGATGTCTCACTTGATTCCTGAACGGAAGTTCTTTTTCTCTTTATCCCTATGGATTTAGAGGACAAGGCCATCTCTAATTCTGCAAGAATCTGTAACGCCCCGTATTTTATTAATAAAGGAAAATACTAGCTTTTAGTTTTAAGCTAGCCTTTGTTAATAAGTAATCATGTTCATGTTCAAGTTCGAGTTAATCAGCTAGTCACATTTCAAGTTCGACTATTAGTCGATAAATTATTCGGTTTAATTATTTAAGTAACCGAATAAGTTTCCAGATTTAATTCCGATTCGTTTATTTAATTAATGAGTTCGAAATTAATTATTTAGTCAGGAATATCCCGTCAGATTAATAATATAAATCATGTTATTAGTTCCGATATAATAATATTTTCGAGTATTATTTTCGGAATTAATTATTTTCAGTCGAGATGACCCGAAATTATTTTCGACGTTCCATTTACGTTCGGAATAATTTTGGTAATTAAGTATTATGCTTAATAATTAATTAGGTATAATGTAGTGATTAATTAGTAATTAATCACACTTACCAAGCTAAAGC